AGAAAGAAAGAAAGAAAGAAAGAAAGAAAGAAAGAAAGAAAGAAAGAAAGAGATAGATTACTTTCCCATATAGAGCCAGTATGTGCCAGAGGCAAAACTCTGGTCTTCTGATCTATAGGGCAAGCTCTCTTCACTATGAATACAGAAAGTACCTACTTGCATAAGATCAGTTATTCACGGTGGCTAGCTAAATTGTGGGATAAGTTCTCATTTAGGCCCTGCCATTGACTAGACAGACGTGTGACTTTGGTTAAGTTGTATTAGTTTGTTCATCCATAAAAAATAAGGTCACTCACACAGCTAAAAGCTGACAACTGTTCTGGTCTGGACCAGTGCATCACTGAGAAGTGGAAATGGCAGTGGAGATCATAATACATTAAGTCAAAGGGTGACAGTACCTTCAAACAGCCTTCCCTTTCTTTCTCCATTAGCAGGAATATCATCCAAATAGCTCCTGCATTGGAGGCTAGGCAAGTAGGCAGCATGGTATAGTAGATAAGAGTGGCTGGCTTAAACTCAGAAAGACTCACCTTTCTGAGTTCAAATGTGGTCTCAGACCCTTACTAAATGTGTAACTCTGAGCAAGTCATTTAACCCTGTTTATCTCATCTACAAAATGAGCTGGAGAAGGAAGTGGCAAATTGCATTTGCCAAGAAAATCCCAAATGAACACAACTGAACAACAAAATGGAGGCAGGGAATGTCTATTTTGCAATTTTAACTTTTGGTCTGGATAAGGAAGCTAGGTCTACCAATGCTATTTTGCAACTCATACAGTCCTGCCTTAGATGTGGAGAGGTTAAGTGACTTACCAATCTATGGTCAGTACATGTCAAAGGTAGGACTTAAATTCAGGTCTTGATAACTCCAAGGCCAGGACTGTTTCCATTAAGACAGGCTGCTGCTGTTTGCCATTAGTAAAAGGTAATTTTTTGCCTAGAGGAGCAAAATTCCAGTTACATCATTGACTGCATCACACATAAATTACAGAAGTTTATATAATACTGTGTGAAAGCATGCTCAGTTAAGAGTCAGGAAAACCTGAATTAGACTCTTGCCTCTGAGGCTTACTAGCTGTGTGCCTATGGGCAGGTCATTTAATTTCTCTGAACCTCAGTTTCCTGACTTGTAAAATGGGGATTATACTATCTACCTCACAGGATTGTTATGAAGATCAAATAAGATAATGAATATATAAGGGGCTATGCAAACTTTAAAGTACTATGTATGTTTTGAGACCAGACCTATGATTCTCAAATGTGCTGAATAAATGTCAATTATCATCATACAGGTTATCTCTTGTCTCGATCTCTTTCCTCCTTCTATTTGTAATTCCTGAGCTTATGAAGCCTTATCTGACTCTATCAACTCACATGAATCACTCCCATCTTTGAATTCCAACAAGATACTATATGTACAATACAGTCATTACAATTTTTGTATTTTGTACAGAAAATTATTTTCATTCAATCTTCACAACAATTTTTCGAGGGAAAGTATGGCAGCAATTACTATTGTCCCTATTTTACAGTTCGGTAAACCCAAGTAACCTGACCTCACACAGCTGCAAAGGATAAACTAGCTGGGCCCCCAGAGTCCTAAATCCTGCTTTATCAGTTACTTCCAACTAGATTACAAGCACCCTGAAGGAAGATTTTTGAATCTCTCCTCAAAATGACCCACCCACTAGACAGAGAGGTAGCTAACTTGATTGATTTTTACTGATAGTCCAGACCAGGGGTAGGGAATTTGCAGCCTTGAGCCCAAGTGTGGCCTTCTAGGTCCTTGGGTGGGGCCTTTTGACTGAGTCCAAGTTCTACAGAACAAATCCTTTTACTAAGGGCATTTGTTCCGTGAAGTTTGGATTCAGTCAAAGGGCCCCATTTGAGGACCTAGAAGGCCACAAGTGACCTCGAGCCTGCAGTTTCCCACCCCTGATCCAGACTAATCTCTTGGATTTGGTGTTTAGCTAGCACACTGGGGCCAGAAGGGATTTTAAACTATTGTAAACTGGAAACTCAGGAGAATACTGTACATATTTGAAAAGCCTCTAGCCTCAGGACTAGGGCTTACTGTGGCCTTTGCTTCCTATCCCTCTAATTTCTTTCCAACTTCTTCAAATGTCTTCCTTATAAAATCCCTAGGTCCTATTTATTTTCCCCTACCCCTACTGACAAGAAGGTTTAGGTTTTCTCCAAGCACAGATAATTTACCTTTCTTTGAGGATTTTAAAGGAAACAACTGTTTACGTGAAAACCTAACCATAGACATAAAAGTCATAGCGGAATGAGCACTGGATTTGAAATTAGAGGACCCTTCTGCGCCTGGTTTTACTCATTTGTAAAATAAGCAAGTTGGGTTTCCAACCCTGGGTCTAAGGTCCCAAGACCCGGTTTCAAACCCCAGCTCTGCTCTCTAACCTATGGGAATTTGGGCAGTCACATGTTGTCTCCTGGCCTCTGGTGCTCTCCCTCCCCATCTCTGCCCGCAGGCTTCCTAATCCCCCTTAATATCAACGTCTTCTCTCTGAGATTATCTCCAATTTATCCTGTATACACCTTGTTTGTCCACTGGGGTTCGCGTGTTTTCTGCCCCACCCCATTAAATTGTGAGCTCCTTGAGGACAGGCGCTGTGGGGGGGTTTATTGGCCCTTTTTTTTGTATTGTATCCCTTAGCGGCTAACATGTATATAGTAAGCGCTTAATAAGTGCTTGTGGACTTGAGAGAGTTGAACTAGACCTTTGCACTTTACAATTTCATGGTATTTGGGTGTAACTGTGGATGGCCCCAGAAGCCCACCCCCACCCCACCTCCCCCCTACCTCCACATCAGCCTAGGGGCAGACTCACCAGCCGGAATCCCCTCACCAGCTGGCCACACCCCCTTTTCAGGGGAGTGTATTGTGTCCCCCAGCTAAAAAGGGGTGTGGGTGGGGGAAGGGCAAGTGAGGTCGCGGCCTGGCCGGAGCCAAGGTCTGGGGGCGCGGGGGGGCGCGGGGGGCCGCCGCGGCGCCCGGGTCGCGTTCTCGCCGCCGCGCAGTGGGTGGGCTTTAGGACCAGGCGGGTGGCTTGCGGAGCTTTCCCGGGGAGCTGGTCGGCCCTGCCAGCGCGCCTCGCCGGATTGATCTTCCGCCTCCCCACGCGGGTGTGAACCCCCACCCCCGCCTGCCTCGGGCTCGGCTCCAGGTGACGCTTCTCCAGCAGCAGCCAGCAGGGAGCGGAGCACAGGCGGCGCCCACCCCTGGGGCTGGCATCCCCATCGCCACCCTCCGTGCTCGGCGCGCCGCGGGGAGCAGCAGCCGCAGCCGCAGTCGAGCCCGGGACCGAGCCGAGCTCCGCGGGGCAGGGCAGGTCAGGGCGGCGAGTGCGCGCGCCGGCCGGGCCCCCGGGCTCGCCCCAGCATGAGAGCCGAGGGCGCGCGAGGCGACGGGGAGGACGCGGGCATCGAGAGGTTCTTCAGCCCCGGCAAAGGCCGGGGGCTGCGGGCCCGCCGGCGCTACAGCGTCGGGGACCTGCTCTTCTCCTGCCCGGCCTACACCTACGTGCTCACGGTCAACGAGCGGGGCAACCACTGCGAATACTGCTTCGCCAGGTAGGGCGCGCTCCCCCGCCCCCCAGCCGGGGCTCCCCTTTCCTTTTTACCCCCGTGGCAGCAGCAGCAGCAGCGGGCTGCAAGAAGGGAGGAAGTGAGCTGGACGGAGCCCGCGGGCTCCGCGTGGTCCTAAAGCCCGATGGGGCCGCGGGGGAGTGGCTGGCGGGGGAAGGGTCGGGTCTTCGGGTCCCGGGGGCTTCCGGAGGGCTGGCGGTCGTATCCAGCCCCACCCCTTCGCACATTGAATTACTTAATAATAATAGAGCAATTGGACCCAGCTCCAGCCCTCGGGGCAAACACGGGCTTGAGCCAAGATCTCCCTTCTGGAACAAATTTCCCGGTTGGACCCGTAGACTTATGCAAGCCTTAACCCTAGATTATTCTGCTGGGGCATTGCGGCCAGAGAACTGTACAGGAGGGAGGGAGGCCGGTGCAAATGCTGCCCCTGGTTCAGTTCAGAACCCGCGTCCCAAGTCTGGGAATCAGCTAGCAGCCCATCCATCACTTTCCTGCGGGCTTTTCTCCACGTATTTACTC